ACAAAGCTAATATCCATCTGGCCTGCCTCACTGTTTGCATCACCTGCCAAGCCCCTGTGGCATTGGAGTTTGTGACCATGGCAGCTGCGTGGTCTGTCATCTTGGCGGGTTGATAAGCACCTCACTTTGTGTGGAACTACACTTTCTCCAATAATAAATGTACAATGAGGAAAGAACATAGGATTTAGAGTGGAAGGCAGAGAGGGCTCTGCTATTTCCTAAGTTAGCCGTTGGGTCTCAGGCAGCCACATAATTTCTCTGTCCTATTCTTTCCTCATTGTAAATCACCAATGATTTAAAAAAAAAAAAAAGAAAAATTCCCAAAAACCAAAAACACAACCCTGCCTTAAATTTCTCACAAGATCGTTGAGCTACTCAAAAAGTAAAATCTGTGAAAATGTTTGATGAAGTCTGAAGTATTATACAAAAATAAGGTAATAATAGCCGTTATGAATCAGTGGGTTGGGGGAAGATGGAGAAGGCTCTTGGGTCTTTGTAGATGAGTAAAGGGCTCAGTTTAGGAAACTCAGCCAGGCCACCTGGTGAGTCATGAGCAGAGCAGGATTCCACCTGTGGCTGTGAGACTCCTGAGACCGTGCACGTCCCCTGGGCCATACCAGTGTTGGCTGTATTACTGACAGTGTTGTCATTATTGCCTTTTTGTTATAGTCTGCTATAAAATATGCTAAGTCAGTGTGATATAATACACTTTTTGTAAACCCATTTTAATTCTAGGAAAACTTTGTGCTCTTAAAGTTCTGTAAAACTTTGAGCTTGAAAGTTCTCAAAATAATTGAATGGTGTATTATAAGACAATCGGAAAAAATTTGTGTGATCATTTATAACTGTGGGGTTTGAAGAAACTAATAATGCAAATGGGCCGTCTTTTAAAATTTTTCCTCATGCTTTAAAACCATGAAAACCAAAACAAACAGAAACCAAATCCAGATAAGAGTCTCCATATCCAGCAAGATTAACTGCACAACACGGCTGGAGGAGAGACTGTAGCAGCAGAGGAAACACTGCACTGTCCCGCTGACTGCTGTTTCAGGTTCGACTTCACAGTAGGGTTTCCACACAGTCCAGCCTGCATGACACACATTCGTCAAATACATTACATAAGTAAGTAAACACAAGGAAAGGAGATATTGTGAAAGAGAAAAACATGTATAGCAACGGGCAGTGACCGTGTACAGGAAAAGATTTCCCCATATCCGAGGGGGATGGGGGGTACTTAACTAGAGAAAGGCTGGAGCGGGGCTGAAGAAGTTCCAGCTAGGGAGGAAGTGGCTGGGATGTGGACAGGGAGAGGAATGAGGTGAACAGGGAGGTAGACAAAAGCCAGACTTGCAGGAAGTAGCAGCTGCTTTATATGATTTCATTTTCTTTATCCTTTGATCAGTGGGAAGCCATTAAAGGGTTTTAAGCAGTAAGCTTAGTGTCATTAAATTTTCTTTTTGAAAAGATCCCTCAGGCTGCAATCAGGAGAAGGGATTGGAGGGCAGCAGTCAATGCAATGAGACTGGTGGGCTCCTGTAGTGGCCAGGATGGAAGACACCAGTGGTTTGGACTAGGAAGCTAGCCCTGGGGATGCAGAGACAAGGACTAATAGAAGAGATGGATTTGAAAGTCCTCTAAGAGGTGACACTGAGAGCTCAGTGTTGAATTAGATATGGAGGGAATTGAGAGAGGGTGGTAAGTGGGAGGCCCTGGGAGTCTGCCTTGTGCATCTAGCTGAAGGTGGCAACATCCACAGGAAGAGGGCACCCTGGAGGATGACCCCGGGGCCGGGGAAGATGGAAAGTCCAGCCTTGGACACACCAAGGCAGAGAGCCTGGGGGACACCCAGGTGGAGAAGCCCAGGTGCCAGCTAGACATGGGACCTGCAGCTCAGATTAGAGGCTTGGGCCAGAGCTACAAATCTGGGAATCAACCGTGGTGGGATGGGAATTGAAGCCATGTTTGTGGATCACACACCAAGGAAGATGATATGGAACAAAATGAGAAAAGGAGCTCAAGACCGAGCCTTAAAGAAGCACATTGTTTCACAGCCAGGAAGAGGAGCCAGATCCTGGGGGTGTGATTACCAGAAGTTTGTCATTTTGCCCATACCTCTGCCCTTGTAATGGACACATGGATGGTAATTGTTACGGACAGTTACACAAGGTACATGTCTAAAATTTGGTCTGATAGTTTTGCACAGATAAAAACCTCTAGAAACTTATACATAACTTCACAATCTTGTGGATGTGAGTTTACTGACGTGGGTAGGCAAAATCCTTGATGTTATTTGATCATTTAAGTAATAGAAGTAAAAAAATAATAATAATTAAAGTCTGCTAAGTAGATCTAGAGGCTTGATCAATACAGGTTACATTATAGTTGGCTCTTGTAGCTAGAGCCCAGTATTTCCTGTTGGGTCACACAACACAAGACACAACAGGTTGCGCCTCCTTCCATGGTATTAAGATTCACTGCTGGGTTCAGGAGAATCTACTTCTTTTAAAAACTTAATGTGTATAAAGTATTCAATAGTCATCTGGTATCTGATTATTTCTCTTTGTTAAGTAGAGCTATATTAAATTCAAATGATAAGTTATAGATCATAATAACAGAATCAGCTGCTTTGAATGCAGTAAGATGCAGATTCTTCTTTAAGTACATTTCTGAATAAAATAAGATTTTGTTAAACCAGCAAGGGAAGCAGCAGGAGACATTAATGTTTATTGGATGCCTATTCCAGGCAAGGGCACTGAACTATGCATGTTTCACAAGATACAAATGTAGCTGATTTTGATAGTGGTATCAACTATTCTATGCTGAATGGAAAACTGAAATACTGAAGATACTGAATGGAGCTGACATGCAAACATAGGCACATGTTTAGAAGGCTGGCAGTATGTTATCAATATGGCTTAAAAAGCTAGTCTAGACCAAACAGAAGCACTTCAAAATAGTGGTAGTGCCCAACTGTCTGCTCCATATGTCAGTAGGATTTGTCCTGAAGATATTGCAGCTGACTTTCTGGCCAGTACTGTTAGTATCATGTGGTAATAATGGAAGGATAAGATTACTGACAAAAGAGCCCAGGCTGTAATGAGTCCACTAACATTAAATGGATGCTCTCTGCAGTGTAACTCCCATCTCAAGCCAGATATGTATGGGGAGGAATAATAGCAAGAAACTCAAAAACTTTACAATAGCAGACTGAGGACCCTAGGCTAAAAACACATGGTGTTACTCCCAGTAAAGTGGTCTAAAGAAACCTCAACAGAAGACTGGAAGTGCAGTTTCAGACATTAACGTGTAGCTGCTTCCTGCTGGAAATTGAAAGGAGCAGCCAAGATTGCAAGATGGGCAAATGGAGAAGCTCTCTCTGGCAGAAGCTTAGAGCCAGCCAAAGGTCAGCAAGGCACAGGATGCAAAATGCCTTCTCTGCAAAAGTAGCTAGCACTGTGAATCTAATTAAAATCCCCACATGTGCATATTGCATGGGGAACTGTAGATTAACACATTAACTGCCATGAGAGTTGTGTTTAACTCATGCTAGTTTTGAGCACAGGGCCTCATGAAGTATGTGTAACTCTCACACATCGCTTCACCTTGGGAGCCGCATGGTGTGCAGACAACTCACGCTGCCATGCTGTAGCATACATGTTATGTGATGGGTGGCCCCCTGGGCAAAACCCTGCAATTGATTCATGAAAATCTTACTTGTTGATATTCTTATTGTTACAATTAATATTGACAATTTAATTGCATATAACTCACACACAGAAAATAATAAAAAATAACAAATTTTTCATTAAATTAGGATCGTTTTGTTTTCAAAGTTTTTATTCTATTTGTGTAATAAAATACCATGGTCCCAAGGAAAATTTTTTTTCTAGCGCGACAGTCAGTTTATTAAAATTGTGACTGCACACACTCATTAATTATCTATTAACCATCAGTAGTTTCACCCTTAAAGAATACAGGACTATATTCACTACGATTCTTGGTAAGATTGCAAAGACATGCATTCATCCACTCCACCAGTATTTAGTAAGCACCTATGACATTGTAGGGGTTGGAGTTAGAGCTGCAAAGACAGACGGGGAGTGTGCACTCAGGAAGAGTATATTCTAGAGCAGTGGTCCCCAACCTTTTTGGCCCCAGGGACCAGTTTCATGGAAGACAGTTTTTCCACAGGACAGGCTGTGGGGGGTGATGGTTTGGGGGTGATTCAAGCGCCTTACATTTATTGTGCACTTTATTTCTATTATTATATTGTAATATATAATGAAATAATTATACAACTCACCATAGGTTGGTATCTGTTTTATGTTGTCATATCCTGATTATGCCATGTTCCAATATTGCAAGGGAAATAAGATGAAATAGCGTTTGCTACTTAAGAGTTCAGACATATACACGAATAGTCCATCTCAGTGATTCTCAGCCCTGACCATATATTCGAATGCCCTGGGGACACATTTCCAAACGTCAGTGTGCACACCCCATCTCTGATCAATTGAACCAACTTTTGGGGATAGGTCTGGGCATTAGTATATTTTTAAAAGCTTCCCAAGTGATTCTAATATATATCCAGCATAGAAAACCACTAGTCTAATTCAAAGGAATTTAATAGTTCCCTGTAGTCTTTAGGATAAATTTGGTTTGATTTTAATCATCTTAGTCTTGGCATGTCATGTCTTACCATCTGGATACTTCCTTCATTATTTCCTTAGAGATCCAAACTTATGGTTCCAAAGGTTAATTTGAAGGGAAAGTCTTCTTTTCCTTCCTTCTTTCCTTATTCATTTTATTCTTTATGGTTTTGAAAATGTTATCTTCCTCCTAAAGAGAATCAAGACTTTGAGAACTTTTTAAATCTATAAAGGAGTAGTCTGTGGTAATTAAATTTAAAGTTTCATGTATCCATTATTCAGAAATTAAATCTGCTTCTAAAAAAATACTGAAGTTGTTATAATAAAGACACATGTAAGATTTTTCAAAACATAGGAAATAAAAAACTTGTAATTGGGTTGGTGTAGCGAGAGGAAAGAAAGAGCTACACTAAGGTAATTGCTATAATTGAGGATAATTACAGCTTTGAGCTTCCAGCCAGCCATGTGAGGGGAAAAGAAGAAAGGAAAAATGATTTTTGTCTGTGTAGTTTAATTTTTATAAAAAGAGGCAAACTAATTCATCAAGACAGAAAAACCTTCCAAGCACTAAAATCTGCATCTAACACACAGACACATAAAGCTTTCTTTATATACCACACAATAGAACAATATCAATACTTTTACAAAACAATGCAGATAAACAAATCATGACATTTTTATATTAATATTTTAGAAATCTACTTCTGTATGATGTTAGTCTGTTCAGCCGCTACCTAGTGTAGCCCCCAGCTCATGACAAAAGGACCATGCCGGCCACAGCACAGGAGGGTGTTGGTATTCCAGTTAGCAGTGGCAGGAGGATACCCTTCAGTTCATCTGAAAGCCATACCAAGTAATAAATTAGGGCACGGGGGTCAGAGCACCACTTTGTTAGGAAATGTGAAAGATTGGAATTTGATCTGTCAGACTAGCCCTGCCCTTGTTAATTCTTACAGTAGTAGTATTATGATACAGTCTCTGGAAGAGTATTAATAGTTTGGGAACTATACTGAAATCATACACCTCAGTGTCTTAGATGGATCCTGGCTATGAAATCAAAGACTTACGATAGATTAGCGAATGTTGCAGAATGCCTTACATTGTTCTTAATCATGTTCTCAGCAAGGTGAAGCAGAGTGTATCAGTGACTACGAGTAGACCAGTTGTCCCCAAAATCTGCTTGTTTCTGATACAGTATGATGTGCCAGCTTATTAAGAAGTAAAATGAAGTTGAATTTTGAACAGTTTGGAGAAAGGCCTAAGAAATGTAATGTGAAAAAGACTGAATCATTCTCGTTTAAGGTGTAGTAATGTATTGCGTTACAACTGGTGTCAAGAAATCCCATGACCATTGTATTCTAACCATTTACTAGAAAAAGAACTATAATGAAGCCACGTAGCTAAGATTATTTAATCCAGTGAATAAAAGTGATAAATACTAACTTCTTTCCCAATAGCAATTGCTAGATGTCAGTGACTACTTTGATTTTCCTAGATGAATGTACCTTTTGTCCTGAAAACACGTCTTATTGTCCCATTTTCTAACTATATTTTTCTTGACATTTTTCCTGTAGTAGAGGCACGAGAAATAAGTGCACAGTGACCCTCCCAGGATCAAATCCCGCTGTTTCCATTTCCCACAGTGTGCACTGACTGAGCTGCCTCCATGGCTGTGCAGTGCAGACCTCACACCTCTAGGAGGCGCCACTCACACCAGACCTTAGATCTTAGATCTTAGCACAGCCAGACCGACTAAAAGTCTCAATGGCAGAGAAGGGTGAATTCACATTCCTGGCTCCATTCGAAAAATTTCTTTCAGTTTCCATGTTTTATATTTTAAGTTCTTAATAGAACCTCGTACTCCATAAATATTTATGTTTCCTTTATTATTTAATATTAAATTAACAACATTAAAGTCAAGTAATGTCAACACTCCTGGAAGATGCGGCCGGCACCTTTTTCCTGACTTTGCCATAATGCATCTCTAAGATAAGCCTTTCCCAATCTGCAAAACTTGCCACTTCACCATAGACCACTCTCTAGTTCTCCATTTAAGGCGTTTAAAGTGCCGCATCCAGAGAAGGCGTGAAAATGTAGCATAGAGAAATGAGGGGGTTGGGAGTGTCAAAGCAGTACTCTGATACTTGCTCTCATTGTGCAATCTGAAGACTTTCCTGCTTTCTACTTTCCAAAGAAAATGGAAATTGGAAATTGGGGTAGAGTGACCTTATTGACTGCCTTACATACAAAGTGCTTTGAACCCAGCCAGGGGAAAGGCTATTATTAAAATGTTAGTTAATGAATCCATATTCTAAAGTCTCTCCAAGAAAAGTTATTAATACTGTGGCATATAAGTTCCATATATGGCTCTTCAACTTGGAAACCACATTCAAAACATAAAACTCTATGCATTATACTCTAATAAGACTTTATAAACACAGCCTTAACCCATAACCTCCATTTTATTCACGATTTACAAATAAAGTGGAAAATCTTGAGGAAGAAGATGTTATTTTCTCATTAGCTATGAAGATGTTCGAAATTGCCTTCATTTCAGTTCATAAGGTCTTAAGAATCACATTAGCTGCGTGGCTTTGTAAGGAGGAGAGTCGCCTAATGAGTTCTCCCTGTGGACTTCAGGGTTTCACCACCTCTGCCCGTGGGGACTCAATATGGGATGAGATTTTTCCTTTCACATGATGAACCAGAGTGAGGCATGTCTGCAGAATAGATGGGAAGGGACAAGGGAGGTGATGGCACTTCCTTGCTCAGGCGGGGAGGGAAGGGGCGGAGAACAGATTCGGGACTGGGCAGTACAGGACTCACAGGCTCTAGACATGTGTTCCTCAAAGGGTTTTCAGTGAGCAACCTTCTTTGGAACCACTTAGGATACACATTAAAAATACAGATTCTTGGGCCTCACTCCAAATCAGTTATATCAGAGTATCTGAGGGCCAGGCCTGAGCCCCAGCACTTTAACAAATGCCCCAGGTGTTACAAAGCAGGACTGGAAAACGTGAAGGAGTGAGGAATTCTGAAGGGCATCTCTGCCTGGGAAGGAAAGGGGCTGAAACCTGTGAGCCCGACAAATGGAGGGGCAGGTGGCATCGAAGGGGTCTGTGGGCCACACGCTCTGATCCACATCGAGGCTGGTTACTAGGCAGGGCCACAAAGCACCCATGCACTTAAGTTGACAGGATACTCTCTTGCTCAGAAGTGAGATACTGTTCTGTCCTGTTGTGTCTCTACTTGAGACCTTCCAGCGTACTCTATATTGCCTTTCCTATCTAGCCCAAAGTCTTTTTGGCTCTCCCAGATATTAGCAGCCTTTGAAATGAACAAGGACCCCTTCCAAAGACCATGACTGAATCCAATCATTGAGTTTCATATTCATTTCTTGTCGAACCGTGTAAGCACAGGATTTCCACAGGGGTTACTATTCTATATTAACCTATCTTCCCCCACCTCTGTTGACATAGCTTTATATCTTCCTTTAACTGGGAAAAGGAGGAGAGGAAAATCAATGTATTGAAGTACATAGACATATCCTTGCATACACACATATATGTCACCATGGATTAAGGCCAGCCCCAGGCAAACTGGTGAAGCAGAAAAAAATTACCTGGAAAGCCCCCCATGCCTGTTCCCCACGTGCTATCTCCCGGGCATCAGGACTCTCATCCTCCTTCCCCTCCCTTCTTCTCACCAGGTGACTTGGTCTGTAGCTAGTAGTTTTTTTTTAATTATTTCAAAGTATTACAGGGTACAAATAAGTTGCCAGTAATGTATGCCCTGGTGTGATTTTAAGTACATGCACCACCTCTTTCATGATTATTTTCTTTTTTAAGCTTTAGCTTTAAGTGAAAGTAGTTTTTCTCCATTGAGAAGGGGAGGGGGATGGGCTCTATACAGGTACCTGGTCCTTGGAATCCAGCCCATCCTCAGAGACCCAGCTGGCCTTGACCGCGGTCAAATGCACGCGTGGGAGGTGGTCCTTTCCACCCTGTGAACATGCAAAGGCTGTCTTTGGAATCCACCAGACACATTGGGGACAGTTCTCAGCTTGAAGCAACATCAGTCCAAGGGCACTGCAGCTGCATCAATTCCATGGAGCCTCTGCCACCAAGCCAAACAGAATCAAGCTGCAATTATTCTGACTAAATGTTATTTCTAATGCCATGTGGTAGAAGCGAAGGAAAGACTTGTGGCTTTTTTTTTTTCTTTCTGATTTCACAAGCTTAGGGTTCAACAATACATTATTTTTCATTTGTGGCTAAAGTATAATTCTGTATTAGGAACTTAATTCTAAACATTTTTTACCTCTTGCAAAGTTTAATTACAAGGGACTGTATAATATCATATTCATGGTGTGATCGGAAGATGAAATCATGCTTGGCACATAGCAGGTATTTAGCAATTACATGTTTAATGAATGACAGAGTATCAAAGAGTAAAAAATATCACCAGAGGTATATTAGTCAAGAAACCAGTGAAACCAGCCCGAGGAGCAGACTGTCTTTAATAATAGAAAGAGAAGATCCCCGGAATGTCTTATCACATTTGGATCCTCCTCAGGCTTATCAAGAACTGAGATTAGAAATTAGACAGATCCCTTTCAAACTTACTGTCTGTGTAAGATTTTCCAAAATTTGGGCATATGCCTTTAAAAAGCTTCAGAATTCCCAGACGTGTTTTCTTTCTTCATTACCTGTACGTGCACCATCTGCGTATTTTGGTTCTGTCCTTGCATTTTGTTGAAAGGCTATTACAAATCTGAATTGTAAATGTGTAAATATGCCAACTACATGTTAATGAAAAAATAAAGAGACTCTTAAGTCAGCCCCGCAGCCAGTGTCTGCTGCCAGAGTGCAATTGATGTTTCGGAAGGGCTGTCGGGATTGATTCCTGGCACTGCACGCCGACTACAAAGGCCACCCATGATTTCTCTTCCTGACATCCATTTAACTGGTGTGGCCTCATCAGGTTTGCCCCTGAATTACTAAGGCTGTGCTTTCCGGGGAGTTGAAACTGTCAATCACATTGAGAATTTTAAGGTTCTTGCTGGAGCAACATTTGCCTTTTTGTGTGGAGAGTCCTGAATTTTTGTCTGAGACTCGAGGAATCACTGGCTCCTCTTATAAACTGAGAAACGCAGAGAGATAGAAAGAAACCTTAGAAATGACTGAATTTTTCAGAAGGGGAAACTGAGGCATGGGGAGGTTTGGACTTGTTTCAGACCACACAGCAATTTAGTGGAAGAGAACAGAGTAGAGCCTGGTCTGTGCTTCCACGTACCAGGCACATACTACTCACTGCATTTTATGAGACTCTGGAATGGGAAGGAGCTGCCTGATATTCAAGTTGTTGTGTGGGAATCCAGAAGACTCCAGTAAACAGAAGCTCTGAGCTTATCACCACGTAAACTTTGAGGAAGATAAAGGCCAGATTCCAGCACCAGTGATCTGGCTGCATAACCCTTCACCCCTAGCTGGAAGGAAGATGAACATCTGCACCAGTACTGTTCCAGATGTAGTTCCCAGGCCGGCAGCCTGGACCTTACCTGGGAGCCAGTTAGAAATGCAGACTCCTGAGCCCCACTCCAGAACAGCTGGATCAGAGTCTACATCTTAACCAGATCCCCAGATGGTCCTATAGACGCATTAAAGTTTGACAAGCACTGTTCTAGAATGGTCTTCTCACACTTCAGAGTGCATCACAGTCACCTGGAGGGCTTGTTAAAACAGAGCTTGCTGGGCCCCACTCCCAGAGTTTCTGAGTCATACGTGTGGGAGAAAGTCCAGAATTCTGCATTTACAACAAGTTCCAGGTAGTGCCGATCGGACCACCCTTGGGGAAGCTCCACTCCACAAGAACCGTGAGCCTGTGCTTTTCTCTACAAGGGGCTTGGGAGTCAGACCCCTGGGTCATCTGTCTTCTCTGACCTCTCCTGGCAGAGAGCTTGGAGGATAAGCCCTGAGATTGTACATCGTCACATAGAAGTTCTGACGTATTCTAATCAAGCTAGTCACTGTTGGGACATTTCCCCAGCCCTAAGTAGTTCATAATAACACCAATAAATAACTTGCAGGAGTGTGTTTTAAGGATTTGGGTTCTATTTTTTAGGAGTCAAGAAGAAGTATTTTGTCTGGCTGTTTTATGATATAAAGAATTCTTAATATTTTTAAAACATCATCATAATGTTTTAAGCAATGGGTAGTAAGTTGAGCACATTCTTATCAGTGGCTGAGTAGAATATTAACTCCAGTAAGTCAGTGGCCCTTGCAATAGAAGTATATCTAAGGGTGTGGTAGTGACAACAGACAGCTTTATCTACCTGGGCTCCAGCTCACAATGAACCAATGTGACAAACTGAAATGCCTCTGCTGACGTTCCTCTGACATGTGACTTAAATTGTCAGCTGCTCATAAATTCTACTTCTCCAATCTTGAAGGTTTACTTTTCCCAGAATAAGCATCTTTCCACATGCAGTCTCAGCGAGGTCGTGGGTATGTGACAGAGTGGAACATTTATAATTCACCCTCTCCGAACAAGTGTTAAAAGGAATCTGATCTTTTCAATATCCTGACCCCCACGAGTAGGGGATTGGATCGAGAGGCACTTATGTCAAACCGTACATTTCTGAACCTCTCAGCAAGGAAACTGAAGTTTATTTTTGGTTAAGTCTTTTATTATCAAAAAAAAAAAAAAAGTGGCTGAATCGCCATGCCTCAGGAGCCAGATAAAAACAGTGCAAAGCAACGCTTACCGGAGTGTGACTATAAATAGTGCTGGTCTCAGTAAACCAGCCTGCGTGTAAACACCACATCCATCACAGCATAGCCGGTGGGATGAGGTCGGTAAAGCCCCCCAGATCCCTCAGAAGGAAGGTCCGTGATGAATGCATGGCTGGGAGTAAGCAGTGGGCAAACCAGAAGGGAGAGAACATTCTTCTCTCTGCTGCCAAAAACAAGTCCTGATAGTCTGAAGTTAAGATTGCCGGGAAGGTGGGTGTGACTCACATGTCCTCACCTGTCTGCTCCTATTCCAGACAGGGCAGACACCCCAGGTCTGTGAGCACCTGCTGGGCAGAGTAGCAGAAAGTGCTGGGGACACTGCGTCAGGAGACTTGGAGCCATGTGGCTCTAGACAAGGTGCTTAACTTCGAGCTTTAGTTTCCTCATCCGTAAAATCAGTTCAGTAACACCCACATCAAAGGGCATAAGGATGAAATAATATATTTTAAAAGCGATTGGCACTTAGTGTGTACTCATTTAGCTTTTTCAGTGGTTTTGATTTCAGGCCTGTGAGTCTAAACTGATACGTAGTGGGCCTCTTCAAGACCCTGGAGGGAACCCGGGTAAAGCCGAGGTGATGGATTATATGCAGGAAGGAGCGCCGTGGAGAGCTACCTGCCCTGGCCAGGTATTCGGGCCCACAGGCTTTTCTAATGCCTTGCGTCGCCATTAAATTTCAGCATCATTTGAGAAGACTGGAGTTTCTCCTTCACATTCTAACCATCTTTGAGAGCCTGGTCAATATGTACCTACCTTTGGATGCTCTTCCTCCTCTTAACCATTCATTCATTCAATAAATATTAAGCACCTACTGTGTGCTGCACCCTAGGGCTACAGCTTATGCACCAGATAGGTCTGTTTGAAGTTCTTCCCTCTTAGGGCTTGGGCCTGCTGAAAAAACACTCAAATGACTTCATAATTTCAATTTCAAGTAATGCTAGGAAGGAGAAAGCTTGTAAAATATGAGCCTCAACTAAACTCGAGAGATGGAAGGGTTTTGTCGTCAGGAAAGCTGCTCCAAGGAAGTGACATTTAAGCTAAGACCTAAAGGATGTTAGGCTCTCATAAGGTAAAACACATTTGAAGGAGGGCCAAGAATGTTTAAGGCTCCTCTGTCCTGTGAGAAATCTAAGGTGTAGCCCCCTCGTGAGGGAGGGAAGAGAATGCCACCATCCTAGGAGCTGGAGAAGGTGCGAAATTGTCACTGGTGAGAATGGCTCAGAACCTGGGGACACGGTGAGATTGCCAGAGTCTAGAGGCCTGCTAGGGGTGGTGATTCTCATACAGTGACACTGATATTGCTGGTGTTGTGACTTCACCAGAGAAAAGTCTCACTTTTCAGTGACAGCACAGAGAACCCGGGGGCCGGGGTCAATCCAAAAGTAAAGGTTTGCCCGAAAAAAAAACTGGCCTGGTTCCGAAATGGCCGCTTGGCGTGCTCATCTCTCTTGCTCTCCTTCCCTCCCTTAGCATATAAATTATGAACTAAATTTTGCATTTTGAGAGTCCGCTTGGGAAGCTACTCACCATTCTTCCTGTAGAAACATGTATTCAATAATAATTTCCTGTCTGCCTCCCAGTTTCCAGGTCATGTAGGTACTGGGAACGTGGTGGGAAATGAGGTGGCTACATCCGTGCCCTCCAGGAGCTTTTAAATCAGATCAGATGAGCAAACAGAAAGAAATAGAACCTAAAGCCCAAACTGCACACTTTCTGAAATGTTCTATGAAGACTTCATATGCTGTGCTCCTCACCCGCTCAGTGTAGAACATATCAAATTAACCTAAATAAAAGCATGTCTCAGGGTTCTGTTAGAATGCACGTAATACATACTTCTAGAAAGACCACACTTTTTTCGTTCTCTGTCTCTCTCTCTCTCTCTCCCCCTCTCCCTCTCTCCCTTCCCACTATTAAAATGAACCTTGGGAATTGGCTTCCAAGTCCAGATAGGAGGAAAACAACCTCAAAAGTCATTCCTTACCCATCACATCCACTTGCCTTTTGGCTTGGCTCAAGGCAAAAACAAAATGGCAGAGCTTTCATAAACAATAAACTATATTTTTTCTGTGATGTAAGTTTGATGTATTCTTGAAGATAAGTGACAGCCGCACGCTCCCCCAAAGGGGTCAGCTGTCCTGTTTTCTGTGTGGATCGATAGGTTTGGTATGTACAAAAAGTAATCAGGTTATGCCGCCAGACGGCAGTAAGGATTTATAACTTGCTCGTAGAATGAGCGCCTGGCTTTTTCCTGTTAGTGGTGAGTCTTGGTGACAGAGTCAGTTTGGTGTGGTGACGTTAAGGCTTTCCAGGTCTCCCTCATTTATCTTCACTCTTAAGCTGCTATAGAAAGAAATGTCAAGATACGGCTCTGTAGGGACGTGATAAAATGATTCAGGAAACTATAAACAAGAAAATCTTACCTTGGAGTCCTGCACCGCCCTCTGCTCTCTGGGTGTATTCTCCCCGACTCGGTGAGGGAGCGAAACTGGGACATCTTGGTACCAGTCCTACGTAGGCGAAAACCTTTGTACCTCAGCAGGCGGGAATGGCAAACATCTGGGTGGACAGCCCCCGTGTTTACAACAGACACTCATTGGTACAAAGTTCGGTGTCGCAGCCTTGTCTAGATGACGATCCCATTGATCTGAAGAGAAGTCTCTCCAAATTTAAATACTTTAGCTTAAAGCTCTTTCAGGGGGCTCTGAATTCTGTTAAGAGGTTTATTTAGCCTCAGCCTGTGCGTCTGTCAGTGTGCTCACTGGACCAGGGAACCCACCCGAGCATTTGGCTTGTGGGCCATTGTTAAATTTGTTTAATTTGTAGCCCAGAAGTGTCATTTTTACTGCATGGTTGCCACACCTGATAATGGTCAGGAAGGAGGAATGCCCCTTGGCCTGGGGACCTTGCCCCCCTTATTCCACCCATCAGGGAGGGGTCACAGTGGAGGTGGTTTCTATCACGCTCAATTAGGAGTCGGCTGCAACAGCTGTAAAATGGCAATGACTATCATTACTGACCCAAACCTGCTTCAAAGGAACTATAAGGTGTCTGCTTCTGTAGCTGATCTCACTGGTCATCCCACCTCCACCAAATTATTACTTAAAGAATTTGCTGTGATCAGAGCACCTACCTGTTAAAGGGGTTTGGCCAAAGAAATAAATAGCTGCCATTTGGTCTGCACCTTTCGTTAATTTCATCTGGGTTTTTGTTTCTCTCCTGTTGGAATTGATCTTGATGGCTGATAGTCCAGGCTAATGAAGATAATTAAAATGCCAAGTGTAAGGTACGAACGACAAGAGTAATTGAGCATCTCTCCTTGAGGAGCCTGCTGATTGGGGCTGAGAATAGAATTAGGCTGCCATCTTGTGGTTAAAAATGGCACCTGCTGCTAAAGCAAAAGGCCAGTGTTTTTTCTGATTGAATCATTTATTCATTAAAATCATGAATGAATGAATATAAAAGGATGATAAGAGATTGTGGAGATTTTAATCCAAAATAATTAACCACACCAACTTCTGAAAGTTATCCCCTACAGAAGTCCTATAACCTCAAGCACTGACCTCTCAGGGCCAAATGACAAGTTCCCACAGTAGTCAGAAATTATATAGAATTGGGATGCAGGTGGCAGGAAGGACCACTGCCTCTTTTACAGCACTGTCGTGCACTCTTTGTGCGTTACATTCTCCAGCCTTAATTTCACATCAGTGCAGCTAATAATGAAGTCCATTCTAAAGCAAAAAGAATTGATGTACAACTATTAAGCTCAATCTGTGATTATGTTAGTATTACCATCTTCTGCATCTCATCTTAGTGGGGCATTCAGGGGCCATAATTAAGTGTTAGCTGAGGTGTATAAAAATAAATAAATGGTCTGGCTGGGTGCGGTGATTCACGCCTGTAATGCCAGCACTTTGGGAGTCAGAGGTGGGAGGATCACTTGAGGCCAGGAGTTCAAAACCAGCTTGGGCAATATAGGGAGACCCCCATCTCTACAAAAACAAGAAAAATTAGCCAGGCATGATGGTATGTGCCTCTAGTCCCAGCTATTCCAGAGACTGAGGCAGGAGGATCACTTGAGCTCAGGAGTTCAAGGCTGCATTGAGCTATGATCACACCATTGCATTCCGGCCTGGGCAACAGAGCAAGACTCTGTCTCTAAAATAGATAAATAAATAAATGGCCCTTCTCTGCCCTATGTTGAATAACTCAAAGAATATTTATACATGTATTCTGACAACGGAATATTTTTTTTTATTTTTTTATTTCAGCATATTATGGGGGTAAAAATGTTTAGATTACATATATTGCCCTTGCCCCACCCAAGTCAGAGCTTCAAGCATGTCCATTCCCCAGATGGTGCCCACCACACCCATTAGGTGTGTACATACCCATCCCCTCCTCCCCCCTCCCATCTGCCTGACACCTGATGAATGTTATTACTATATATGCACTTAAGTGTTGATCAGTTAATACCAATTTGATGTCGAGTACATGTGATGCTTGTTTTTCCATTCTTGGGATACTTCACTTAGTAGAATGGGCTCCAGCTCTATCCAGGATAATACAAGAGGTGCTAGATCACCATTGTTTTTTGTGGCTGAGTAGAACTCCATGGTATACATACACCACATTTTATTAATCCACTCATGTATAGATGGGAACTTGGGTTGTTTCCACATCTTTGCAATTGTGAATTGTGCTGCTATAAACAGAATATTTTTTAAACTCTGAAGAAATAACATTCTGTAGTTGAATGCATGTTTATTGAATCAGGCCAAGAACAGGATCGAGGAAAATAAATGTCTCCATGAAAAAAATTGTGAGAGATGCTCCCCAAAACTGTTCAGATATTTCTGCTGGTAGAGATGATTCCAAATAGTCAGAACTTGTCTTATTTGGTGTAGGAATTAGCAGAAAATAAGGTGGTCCTCATGGGCCAGTAACAGTGTCACAGGACAATATAGCCTTGAGTGACTTTTCCCACAGGGAGCCTGGTTGGCACAGTGCATGTTCTGGAAAATGCCATGATTGCATCAGGCCCCTCCTTTTCAAGGTACCTTTTTACTTCCCAGATACTTTGCCTCATCTCCTCTTACTCTCTCCTCCTGTCAGTAATCCTGAGAAAAGCCTTCGGGCCACAGGGAAGGACACTGGTACCCGTCCCCCACCCACTCCCACTCCCAGCTGCTGCTCAAAATAAAACGGGGACTCCTAAGTATTGCATTCAAGGGCAGTAAAACCAGTGCATGAGGGTCCAGCCTTGGCAGGAGAGCCCTGGACCATCCACACGAGGCCCCTACCCTCAAGCCCTCCGGGAAGGTAGAGCACAAAATCAGACATGCATATCTGCACACATGGGGGAGGGGCAGCCCAGCTACACGTGTGGGGGAGGGGCGGTCTATACACAGGTGGGCAGGAGGTGGTGAGTGGGAGGCAGTCTTGGCTCAGTTGTAGATGGGCTTCCAAGATTTAAGGAGATAGCTAGAGAAGGAATGGGTGGCAGAATTACGGAAACAGAAGTTCAGAATGAAAGGAGGAGACCAGGAGAGAAGAGCAGCAGAGCTCAGATCAACTCTAAAACTGGAATAATCCCACCCGGGAGGTCTGCTGTGAGCATCAGAGGTCATGTGTGTGCAGATCCCCGCCACACACACACACACACACACACACACACACACACACACACCCCGCCAGGCCTCTAAAGGGGATCTGGTCAGCAGTAGCTGCCGCTGCAACCCCTCAGCCTGCCAGCGCTGCCACCACCGCCTCCGCAACTGCTATCACCACCGTCCTCCCGCAGAGCGGCACTTAGAGGGTCTGAGAGGCGGGAGCTGCCCTTATCCCCAGACACTACAGTGATCTGACTCAGACACGTGGACCAGATGATGATCATTCCATTCACTGGGAGATTTTTGTCCACAGTGAGAACTTTGGGAAACGTCTTTCAGTGGCTTTTCAGAAAATTCTCATTGAGGGGGAGTGAGCCAGGACTTTTGACACATTTTCTCTGAGTTCCATCCTTTATTCAGTAGTTTGTAATAATCCCCTTTCATCCTCTTTCTCCCTGCACTGTCCTAATAGGCTGGGCACCCCACACATGTCATTATATGCCATTGGCCTCTTCTGTTAACAGAGAGAGAAGAGAGAAAAGAAGAAAAACGTGCAGAAGTGGAGAGGGGTGCTAGAGACCCCACGCTAGGCTTGCTGGGTGGATCTCTGGCTTTCGAATAACTCACACGGCAAACTAGTTTCAAAAAACCTGGCACTTTATAAATAAGCATTGATCGATCTGTTTGAACGAATGAGAGAATGAAGGAAGGAGCAAACAAACGCCTGCTCAAGACATAGACAACTTTTTTTCTGTGCTTCTTAAAACGTTTATGCTTTGGAGCCTTATATAAAATGTTATTTCATACGTTTTCATCAGTCACCATGATTTAAGTGCTTGCTTGAATGTATTTTAAAAACCTACCATGGGCCGGGCGTGGCGTCTCATGCCTGTAATCCTAGCACTCTGGGAGGCCGAGGCGGGTGGATCATTTGAGCTCAGGAGTTCGAGACCAGCCTGAGAAAGAGCAAGACCCCATCTCTACTAAAAAAAAATAGAAAGAAATTACTTGGACAGCTAAAAATATATAGAAAAAATTAGCCGGGCATGGTGGCGTGCTCCTGTAGTCCCATCTACTTGGGAGGCTGAGGCAGGAGGATCGCTTGAGCCCAGGAGTTTGAGGTTGCTGTGAGCTAGGCTGACGCCACGGCACTCTAGCCTGGGCAAAAAGAGTGAGATTCTGTCTTAAAATAAATAAATAAATAAATAAAACCTACTATGGTGCCAATCTGTAGTCTTGATTTAAAGTGAATTATTCTATCAACAAGTCATAGGAGATGGTTATTTTCATTCAGATATAGCTGTCCAGGAGCAAACATACAACAGTCATTTGACTGTTTATACTATATGCCTACAGTGTTCACAAGCATAATGTATACCCAGAGGAAGAAAGTTCTGGATTACACAAGAAGTTTTACATTTATGTAATTATACGGCATTAGAAGGAGATGCTCATGTTGACTCAAAGACTAAGGAAAATGATCACACCTTCATTTCAGAATTCTCCCTGCATACATTGTGGATAAAAGTTTCTCTTTTTCAGTTTTTTATTATCCCTCAACTTGGAATATTCAAATAAATGTGATAACGTTTCACCTGGAGATGGTTTGGTCCGGTTGAACTGCCTCTGTTGAAATGGAAAGGCTTCCGCTTTCTCCCTTTCAGGGTGCGCCCTGGTTTGCTGCGAAGCCCCCCTGGTGCTGCCCTGACGCTAGCACTCAATGACGCTGAATATGGTCACCTGTCAGCGAAGCCAATGAGAATGTGAACATCGACAGTCTTTTTCAAGAAAAATACTGTGTGATTATCATAAGACAAAAATATTTATTTGCTTTATTCATGATGCTTGACATTAAAGTCTGTTCCTTTTCATTTAGAATGTTCTAGAGTTGAGCAAAGCAGCTGTTCTTTAAACAAGGCTTCTCTCATGATAGGCAATTGTCAATTTGATATACTGCTCTGTAACTCTTAATATTTAGCAAAAGAAATCTGACCATTTCCATTTAGAAGCATTGTAACTGGAACAGGGGGCAGCAGTAGCTGCTTGAGTCCTGGTGCCCCCACCTCCAGCCCACCCCAGCGAGGAGGAGCTTCCGTAAGGGGCTAAGAGCCCAGGCTTGGAGTCAGAGATGGCTGGGCTCAACCCACCCTGCCACTTAGCTCCTGAGACACTGGGGGGATCTACCTCTCTGCTGGGATTCAGCTTCCTTCTCCGTGAAATAGGGATTAACAGTGCCTCCTACGCAGGGTGGTGGCAGTGATTAAATGAGGAAAGCATTTAGCAGAGTCCCTGGTACGTACCAGGTGCTAAAATGTACGTGGTAAAGCTCTTATGCTTAATTTGTAGTTGTTTATGAATAGGTCTTGTTTACTGCTGAGGCTGTATTCTTAGCACATACTTTCATGCATTCATTTGAAAACGCATTTCTTGGGTGCTCACAGCAGCTTAGTGGAAACCAGCCCTGAAATAAAGTCACATCCTCAGAACAGATAACCGTGTGTGCAGGTGGATATGAAGACGTTCTGTTTCATTAGGTGTATTGAGCTTAAAGCTTCTCAGAGAACAGCGGGTTTGGGGAGCTGGGGAGATAAGAGGTGACAGGGGGAGGGGGGATGATGAATTATTACATATTCGTAAAACCTATATGAATAGTGATTTATATTCTGGTAAAAAATGAATCCAAACGGGTATGTATTTATCTGCTATGGAGTACTTGGAATCTTTGTTTGAAGACATTAAGAATCTGTCCTCCAAACATATCAAGATAGATAGCCATTGCTGCAAACACTGCACTAGGCACTAGTACGTGCCCAACTGGCACTTTTAGGTGAGGAAAATAGAGGCCTAGACCGTGGAGGGGACTTGCCCAGAGTCAGGCTTCAAATCAAGTCCAGTGCTGTGTTCTGCATTCTGCACAAGCTTCCCTAACTTCGCTCAAAGGCCTTGCTCCGTGCAGGAACCTAATTACAAAATTCTGCCCCTTTACACGAGAAGTGCTTTCCAAACACGGTGGTCTCTCTGCAGGAGGATGGAGCCCTCGGCACCCTCACGTCACCACCTTTGAAGGACTGATTCCGTCAGCTTGTGCCAGTTCCTGCCCCCACCATGGGGCCTGCGGGCAGCGTGGTGAGCGGGGACCAGATGCAGATCGTCCTGTGGGGGAGTTTGGCCGCTGTTGCCACTTTCTTCCTCATCACCTTCCTCATCTTCCTGTGCTCTAGTTGCGATAGGTAAGAGCCAGAGCGTCTCTATCGGAACCTTGAAATAACGTGTTCCCTGTACCCAGAAGTGACTGTGTATAAGAAGTCTGCATGACTGGTCACAGAAACTCACACTTTAACTTCTCTCTGCTGCAAAGGGTGCCAGGACATTCTGTATTAGTTGAATGAAAATCCATATTTGATCTTGCTGAGGAGCAACCGGAAGAGCCCTTATATTTTAAACTTCCCAGAATGGAATTCTTGCTGTTCTTTTGACAAATTTTGTCAAAATTTGTATTGTCTTTTTCCATCTGTGGACATTCCAAAATCCAAGTGTGATGTGCATCTTTTTGCCACCACTTGGAAATTACTGAGAATTTTTGCTGTTACGTGGCTTCTGAGGGATCATTTATTATTAAAAATTTATAATGTAGAACTGCAGTTTCTTAAGAAACAGATTAGTTTTCCTAGGAGAGAGACATGCTCTATGGGAAATAATCATCAGTATCTTTTTTTTAGAATTATACTTCTGTCTCTCTCCTCCGTCTCAGAGAAAATGTCAGTACCCCAAAAAAGAGATCTTTGCTCAGAGAGAAGTAAAGCTCTTTCTAATGAGGAGTGATTTCGCGAGACATTCCGGAGCTGTTGCAAAGCAGGCAGCCTTCTGGGGGGATGGATGCTGCCGGGAGCCGGCACAGACCAGCCGATGGTTCCCCAGCCCAGTTCCAAACTCACTCTCAATCTTGGAAGAAACTACAGGAGTGTCACTTCAAAGTCTGATGTGGCTTCCCAGCCTAAAATCTGTCAAGAGGGGAAAAGCCAGACCCTCTGAATCCAAGCAGCCTCCTAATCCCTGCCCATTTTGGACCCAGGCCTCCTGGGTGTCTGGGACAGAATCCGACTGGCCAGGGAGAGGAAGAAATAGAGGCTGCACGGAGCGTGGGCTGCCCCGGGCCTGGGCCGGCCCGCTGCTGCAGTTATTCCCGTTCCCACTAGGTGTCACTCTTGCCTTATATGGTGCGTGGATGGGACACGTATTTTTTACAACTGATGGCTTTCTTTAGACTGTCCTGAGTAAAAACAAATTCTATTTTTACTTGACAGACTTTTCCATAGACTGGAAGTACATATGACTCATGCTGAGAGCATGTACCCTTCCTGGCGTGCCAAACTTTGTATTTTCTTTATTTTCCCCATCCCTCTGCAGTGTGTGACTTTGCAAAGACTGTAAGTGAGATGAGATAATTGTCTGGGTTTTCTAAGGAAAAAAATGGTATAACTCGTTCCAGTCTTCTGGGTATAAACAGTTTCTACTCAGGACCCTGCCTCGGTCTCTCACTGTGAGCTTGTATTTTTAATTCCTGGAGGAAGGGGTGCCCAAGACAGGTGAGCAGTCCCCTCTGTGGCCTGACCACCTCTTGCACCTAACGCCTGCACACAGGTGATCAAGTGACTGTCTAGTTGTTTCCTCTCTGGACAAAATACACGTGGTTCTTAGAACGAGAGAGATTTAAATGGTGGCGAGAATTAGGATAGGAAAGGGTAGTGTATTTTTTATTTTAGGGGTCACGTTTGATATTACAACAATGTTTTATTTTCCATCTCAGGGAAAAGAAGCCGAGACAGCACAGCGGGGACCATGAGAACCTGATGAACGTGGTGAGCCCACATGTGTGTATCTGTCTGTCCGTGTGCACACGCTAAGATATCAGCTACGCATCCAAGCGTGTTCCCACATGCTTATGAGCCGAATGAACCCGAGGGGGAGGACTAAGCCGAAGTTACCTGTGACTAAGCCTGGACTGTGCCCTCTTTCTGTAGGTTTATGGTCACCGTGGCCAGAGGCCTGTGCGATTAGCCAGGTTTGTTGGGAGAGCGTCTGACACGAATGCAGTTTTGCCGCTGCCAGAATGATCCTTAGATGGCTCCAGCCTAGCGCAAGGATGTTTCTTGTTTGCCTCTGCCCAGCTCCAGCTGGTGTTTTCCTTGGCTAGGTCTGTCATAACAAAGGACGACAAACTGGGTGGCTTAAATAGCATATATATTGTCTCAGTTCTGGAGGCCAGCAGTCCAAAAATCAAGGTATTGGCATTTCCTTCTGAAGGCAAGTCTGTCCCAGGCCTCTCTCCTGGTGGCTTGCGGGCAGTCGGTGGCATCTTTGGTCGTAGGTGCATCGCCCGAATCTCCGCCTTCATCTTCACGAGGTCTTCTCCCTCTGTCCCATCGTCTTCCCTGTGTACATGTCTGGCTCTGTGTCCAAGTTTCCCTTTATAAAGACACCAGACATGTTGGACTAGGGCCCCCCTACTCTAGTGTGACCTCATCATAACTAGTTTCATCAGCAATGACCCTATTTCCAAATAAGGTCCCGTTCTGAGGTCCTGGTGGTTAGGACTTTGACATATGCCGTTCAGCCCATAGCAACGGGTCACTCAGCTAACCAGAGCCTGGGACCCACAGCACCCTAGGGTAGCCGGGCCTTGCTCGAGTGTTCCCAGCCCTCAGCACCTTACAGGTCCTGATGATCCTCAGGTGGGCCTCAGGGAGCCACCCTGGTGAGGAACAGCCTGAGAGTGCCACGTCCCGCCGTGTCCTCTGACTCAGGGCCACGACCTTACCTTACGTGGCTGAGCAATTCCAGCAGCTGGGGATGGGTGCCCTCCCCCACCCACATATTCACAAGGCTGGCTTCAGAGTCCCGCCTGAGCCCCGGGGCAGTGCTAAAACAGAAGACGCTTCCCATTCAGGACATGATTTCTCAAGGCCAAACAAAAACTGCTTTGGCAGAAGAGGGTGCAAAAAAGGAAGTACAGACGAGTCAAAAATATAGCATGAGGTCTAGTGTAAAACACGCAGCCAGCAGACACATTGGGAGTTCCCCGGGAGGCACCTCTGGTCTAGGGTGCCTGGCCTGCAATTCGAGGGATCTTTTAGCCCACGCAGGCAGGAAGTGGTCAGGCTCCCTGTTCCTCCTGGGGGCTCCCCAGGGCTCCCCTTCTCTTCCTCTCTGCATGTGCGCACCCAGATCACCCATCCACCGCTCTGCCCTTTACCCTTTTTCTCACCCCATTCCCGTCCCTGGTTGTCCACATTGTCCCCACTTCTTGTCTGTTCCTGCCACCTCTGCTTTGCCCCCGTGACTGCTGCCGTGGTGGCCTCAGGAGGAGCATGGAGGGACGGGGAGATCCTCTCTGTGGCTTCTCCCACGTGCAGATCCAGGCCCCATTTTTCCTCACCCGCCTCTCTCCCTGGCGCCAGTGGGGCGGTGAGATGGGGCTGGGGGAAGACTTCCAGCTCCGTCGCTGACTTCCTTCTAGAGCAGGGGTTCTAGGTGTGGCCCACACCACGCCAGCAGCAGCATCACCTGGGAGCTTGTTAGAGGTGAGAATCCTCCCTAGGGTGGGGCCGGGAACTGTCACCAGGCCTTCCAGGTGATTCTGATGTACTCACAAGTGTGAGAGCCCCCGCTCTACACCTTCACTTCCCGCTGCTCTGCTCAAGGTCAGCAGCAGCCCCGGATGAGACAGGAAGAGAGTGGCAGGTGGATAAGAGGAAGAGGCTGGCTCTCTGTGCTTTCTTCCTCATCTGCCACATAATTAATCAGCTTCGTGGATGTGAGTGTGTGTGCCTGAGCAAGAGTGGGCACAAGAGCCTATGCACACACACGTTTGCCCATCCAGATCTCTTTAAGAGCATTTCAGCTCCTAAATCTTGTACAACTTGCAGATTCCCCATCTCGCAGATGCTAAGATTGGAAATGGTGATTAGAACCTATACTACGCTGCTGTGAGCCCACTTGAAAGCCTTCTGCCCCCACACCTACCCCCATTCCTGCCCAATTGTAGCATCGTCTCTGGGATTTGGGTGGGGAAGTGGGGCGGGGGACCCACCTGCACCTCAAGTTCCCAGCAGCCTGACACAATGACCCATCTCGTTGTGAGTGTATCGGTTATGAGCTGCATTGAATTGCAGTAGCCGACTGCTGATAAACTTTTGGGTCGTGCCACAGCATGAGCTCTTTGCTGTCTGTCACTATTTGGCTCCAAATTAGGAGTCAGAGAGTTTGTTGAGGCCAACTAGCCCTCCTGTGCTGTTGACATCAGAACTCTCCATGTGGAGTCTTGGAGCCTGGGGTAACCTCTTGGGTCGTGCAGGCCATGGAAAGGACGGGAAACAAATCATCTTTGCAGTGACTCAGGCAGTGGCCTGGGACAGTGGGTGTTTAACACATTGACTGCCACACCAGAAAAAAAAATTTTTCCTTGGCGCCACGATGTTTTATTATGAAAATAGAATAAAAACTTCAAAAACAAAATGATCCTTTCTAATTTAATGAAAAATTTGTTATTTTTTATTGTTTTCTGGGTGTGAGTTATATGCAACTTGAAAAATAGTTCACGCGGTTCCCAAGGTAAAGAGATGGGTGAGTTACATATGCTTCACGAGAGCCCGGACTCAAAATTAGTGTGAGTTAAATACAACTCACAAGGCAGTCAATGTGTTAAAGAAACTGCCCGGCAGGTGTGGGGAACCTGTGGCCTTCTGGATCCTTGAGTGCAGCCTTTTGAGTGAAGTCAAATTTTACAGAACAAATCCTTTTATTAAAAGGGGTGCAGCAGAGAAAGGTGAAGCTTTTCTTGCCCCCTTTGGTGCTTAAAAAAGAATAATCTTGAAATCAGAGGCCACAGGTTCCCCACCCCAGGGTTTGCCTGTCTGTGGGAATAAGAAAGGTCTGCAGAGCTGCGCTCCAGCACGTGATAGCGTTTGTGAACCTTGGAGCCGGAGACTTGGCTGATTCTGAAAGAGTTTCAGAAATCAATGGCATTGCCTGTCTTTGACCAGATTTAAGTCTTTTCCCTTCAGATGACAAACAGTGATGCTTTTCCATGATTTTCGTGGCACAGCACATCTTTAAGAATAGCATTTTACAGCACCTGTGTTACAGGGGTGACGCTGTTCCCTGCCGGAGTCAATTTTGACCAGCATTGGGCCTTCTGGTCCCCTCCCTGCCTTGAGCTGTGGGGACTGATGGCTCACAAGCTACCTATAGCCCATTTGTAGATCACCAGATGGGGAGCTGTGCAGATGGCCGTGAAGATTCCCCGTGCTCCTAAGATTCTGGGACAGCACTGTCTAGTAGAATGTTCCGCAATGCTAGACATGTTCTCTGTACTGTCATATCATGGTACCCAACGGACACAGGTTGCTAATGAGCACTCGAAATGTGACTAGTCGACCAAGAAACTCAATTGAATTTTATTTTATTTCACTTCGTTTAAATCTAAATGCAGTAGTCCCCCTTTATCCATGGTGTTGATTCTGCGGTTTCAGTTACCCAAGGTCAACCATGGTCCAAAATAGGTGAGTACAGTACAATAAGATATTTTGAGAGAGGGAGCGAGGAGAGCATATTCATATAATTTTTAGTACGGTATATTCTTGTAATTGTTCTATTATTTGTTAATCTCTTACTGTACCTAATTTATAAGTTAAACTTTATCATAGGTATGCATATATAGGAAAAGACATAATACATATAGGGTTTGGTCCTATCTGCAGTTTCAGGCATCCATTGAAGGTCTTAGAATGTATCCTCTGTGGATAAGGGGAGGTCTACTATAGTAGATTTTGATTTTTGTTTTTGCTGTTTTAATTTTTAGAAAAAAAGCCATAGATATTCTTCTCTGCCCTGGAGTCTAGATTCTTAGCAATGTGATGCATTGCTAAGAATGACGTTTTGTTGTTTTTTTCTTGTTTTTGTTTTGCAGCCTTCAGACAAGGAGATGTTCAGCCGTTCAGTTACCAGCCTGGCAACAGATGCACCTGTCAGCAGCGAACAGAACGGGGTGCTCACCAATGGGGACAGTAAGTTCTACAAAAATGGACTCTCTGTTTTGTTGAATGATGTATCCCAGCACCTTGAACCATCCCTGGCATGTAGTAGACACTCAAAACATCCTTGATCCTTAAGGGACAACTGAATGGCTTCACATGGTGACATTTCTGTGGCAGTCCAAGAATTTCATATTTGGACTTTCTAATTGGAGTAGGAATGGGTAGCTGTGGGGATGGCAGGAAGACACATGGCGCCACCAGTCCCTTTGTGATACTGTTTAAGGGTACATTTTTGCCCTGTTGCTTCCATTATGCCTTCCAAGCAGGTGACCTGTGGAGGGGGGTGAGTGGCTCCCAGTAATTCCCTCCACACACAGGTGGGGGCCAGTGGGCCAGGGAGAGTGGCCACCACACGTTTCCCTTCTAGTGTCCAAACCCCACGGTTTGGCCCCACTGAATACCACTTTCATCCTCTAGTCACATTGGCCCCTCTGCCCATAAGAGTCTCATCAGGTGTAACGATAAATAAGGAAAGTAACTGTGAACCACACTCGTAGCCAAGACAATTTACTAAATCTTGTATTGGGAAAGATATAATAGATGACTTTGGTTGGAACTGGGATTGAAGTAAGAATATCACCTGACAGTCGTAGTATCTATAATTTGCAGCCGAGAGTCTGATAAAGTGAGCATCTTGATTGAACCTAACTTTACATTCTCTGGTTCGCTGTAATGATTACTGAAGCACTTGTCCCTCTCCACTTTTAATACTTCCGCCGCTTTAGTTCTTTCGGAAGACAGTGCTCTGACCTGCATGCAACATTACGAGGAAGTCCAGACCTCAGCTTCGGATCTCCTGGACTCCCAGGACAGCACAGGGAAGCCAAAATGTCATCAGAGTCGGGAGCTGCCCAGAATCCCTCCTGAGAGCGCGGTGGACACCATGCTCACGGCAAGAAGTGCGGATGGGGACCCGGGGCCGGGGACAGAAGGGCCGTACGAAGTGCTCAAGGACAGCTCCTCCCAAGAAAACATGGTGGAGGACTGCTTGTACGAGACTGTGAAGGAAATCAAGGAGGTGGCGGCAGCCACACACATGGATAAAGGCCCCAGCGGCAAGTCAAAGTGTACTTCTACCTTGAAAGAGCTTCCCGGGCCCCACACCGAGGGCAGAGCAGAGTTCGCCGAATATGCCTCCGTGGACAGAAACAAAAAGTGTCGCCAAAGTGTGAATGCAGAGAGTATTCTTGGCATTTCGAGTGATCCAGAAGAGGAGGCGCCGCCACCTGTCCCTGTCAAACTTCTGGATGAGAATGAAAACCTTCAGGAGAAGGAAGGGAGAGAGGCAGGAGAAGAAAGAGCCACGGAGAGGACCAGTGAAACCAACAAGGTGGGCTCCAGCGTGTGTGCTTCATGGGCTTTTGTCATGATTAGCAATGTGTAGTCCTGGGATTTTGTTGATGTTTTTTTAATTTTACTTGCACATTGTTCTGGGAAATATCTACGAACACTTCCAATTTGTTAAACGATGAAAGCTGTTTTAGTGTAAGCTGTGTTTGGCTGTTTTCCCCCTCCAAGTAAAAAGACACCGAAAGCTCGTGTTTATCAAACGTTCCTTTCTCCGCACCTTACTTGGATATTTTCCAATTTTTACATCGTGTCGAATTAGGGCCAAGTGTTATTTGCTTTATTTTGAAGACCAAGAGTGAAGCAGAGAGACTAGACTCTGTCTGCACATTTTACTTCTCCCACTTGTTGCTGCCTAAGCAGCGTGGCGACCCTTACCCTGCCAGCATCCTAGAAATCAAAGCGTAGCAACGTGCACAGCGGGGAACCAAGTCACACGTGCCCCTGGTGATATCTGATTGTCTATACGCTCATGTAAATCCAATAGGAAATCTTATTTTGTGACAATTCCCAGGAAGTAACTTCTAACTCTTAAATTTAGATATTCAACAAAGCTCTAACACGTATTAGTGGTCCCCAGGCTTCTGTGTGTGTGTCTGATAACTTAATATGTGAGCCGCAGTGAATGTCACATCTCTGGTTGTCAGAATCTCCTTGAGTTTTAACTAGGCCCATCGACTTCAGGCAATTATATCTAATTTCTTTTCTCTATACAGCAAAAAAGACAAGGTTCTCTTCTATTCAAGTTTTGGTAGGAAGGGCAAGTAGGGCCTAGTCAGTCACTAGTAGCCTAAAAACACTTCTGGAGTTCATGGTCAGAAAACTCTGATTGTATAGATTAGCCCAAGGAATTCCTGCTTTTTGCTACTCTCTGAATGCATTTCAACTTTTCATATTATCCATGAAATCAGCTGTTGAAAGCACCAGTAAACGGATTTATGAACACGTTCATAAAATGCAAAAATGCAGTCTAATTTTTTGCCTTTCATATAACCAAAGATAATAAAACCGATGTAAAGTTTATGCTGCCTAAACCAGTTAATGCTTTTTCCTTAGAAGCATTTTAAAGATGAGAAGGTCAGTTGCCTAACCATTGCTAGTAAGCAGTTCTCCAGATTTTACATTAAAAACTGGAAATACCCATCCGGAAACCAAATTCTCTTTCTACAGTATAAGAAGAATGAGTAATCCATCATCTTCATATAAACAATTTGAGTGTTAAGTGAGTTGAGAGTTTGAAATGTTTAATATTCATTCACTCAACAGAAAGATTTTAACGAGCACCTACTATGTGCTGCATGGTCTTCTGAGTGCTAAGAATGACAGTGAATAACACATAAATGAATAAAGTTCCTGCCCCTGTGAGCTTACATTTTAGTGGGAAAAAATAGCCATAAAGTTTATAAGAAAAAAGTAGAATAAGGGGGATTGGGAAAATAGAGGTGGTGGGGAGGAGTTTTGGGCAGAGCAGTCAGGGTCTGCCCAGCTCTGAAGGTGACACTTGAGCAGAGTTAAAGGAGGGGTGGGAGTGAGTAACTCGCTTTCTGAGGAAGAGCAAGTGGATCGGAGGGCACGGCCAGCGTGACGTCACTGAGGCTAGGGCTTGCCTGGTGACATCCCTGAGGCTAGTGCTTGCCTGGCTTGTGACGGAAGAGGAGGGCACTGGTGTGGCTGGAGAGGGACAAGCAAGGATAGTAGTGGGCAGAAGGTAACCAAGGCTCAATCCTGGGTGGCCTTGGCTCATAATCTGAACAATAATAAGGTCGCCAGAGAGTCTTTAGCAGCAGAATGGCACAACCCAACCTGTGTCGTGGAAGGATCCCTCTGATTCCAGTTTTGAAATAGACTGTAAAGGGTGGAAGCCAGGGACCGATTGGGTGGCCATCCTGATAATCCAGATGAGAGATGGAGGTGGCCCGGATCAGGGCGGAGGCAGCAGACGTGATGAGAGAAGCTAAGCTAGAGATTTGCCAATGGATTATATGCATGCAGAGTGAGAGAAAGAGAGAGTGATGAGTCCAAGTTTGCGCCTGAGTTATAGGAAGGATAGAATTGTTATTAACTGAACTGCAGAAGATGCAGGCAGAGCAGGTTTGGGGGAGACTGGGCATTCAGTGTTGGAGGTGTTTGGTTCGAGACGTAGATTGGAGCTCCAGGTGGAGCTAATCAGATAGCAGCTGTGTACATGGGTGGGGTAGAGTGGAAAGGCCAGAGCTGGACTTGCACACATTGGGGTCATTGGCAGAAGTGTGGTTTGAAAGCCAGGAGACTGGATGAGGTCACAGAATGACTGAGCATCGGTAAGGACCAGAAGAGCTCCAAGAGTAGAGATCTCGAAAAGAAACCAGCAGAACAGATCAAAGGAGGAAAGAACAGGAAAGTGTGGGGTCCTGGAAGCCAAGTGAAGAAAGTGACCAGGGAGGACAGAGTGACTGACAGCTGTGGCAAGTGCAGCGGCAGTTCAGGGACGATGCGTCACATTGGTGGCCTTGACAAGAGCAGTCTCGATGGAGTGGCAGAAACCTCACTGAAATACGTTTGGAGAGAGAATAGGAGGAGAAAAATTCTTTTAGTGACCTCATAGACAACTCGTGTGAGAGCCTTTGCCCTGAAGAAGTGAGGCAATAGATAGAGCTGGAAGTAGGATTGGGTTTGTTTTGTCTTTTGTTTTTAGAACGAGAGAAGTAGCTGCAGGTTTGTGTGTGGATGGGAGTGATCCTATACTAGGAGAATTTTGCTAGAGCTAAATTCACGTGTAGGTGTGCAGGGACAGGATCTGATACATGGGAGGAGGGAGTCGCCACAAAGAGGAGTGTGGAAAGTTCATTCGTGGTAACAGGGCGGAAGGAAGATGGATGGATGCTGGTGATGCGGGTAGGAGTTCATAAAAATTTCTTCTGATTCCTTCAGTTTTCTCAGTGAGCTAGGACGCAAGGTCATCTGCTCAGAGTGAGGATGGGTGAGAAGGTGCTGGAAGTTTGGGGGGAGAGGATGAGAAGCGAAGCAGACCGCTGGTCGAGCAGGGACTGGGTGTGCTAGGGAAGCATCGGACGGCACAGAGGCACGGAAAGGGCTCACGTGAGGGTCGAGTTCGCCAGTGACCATGGAGCATGATTGTGACGGCTCACTTGGAGTTTAAGGTTGGTGAGGCAGGAGGGAAGGACATCAGCAGAAGGGGAGACACGGAAAAGGTGGCTGGATCCCAGCAGCACTGAAGGAGGTCGGAACTGGGTTACAGAAGGGGTGAACCTGGACGAGTGCTGGTCTGAAGGGGGTGGCCAGGAGCTGGCGTGGTGGGAGGGGCTGTGGTTTAGGGTGAGAGGGTGCCATGGTGCATCCAGGAGAGGGAGTGCTGAGGTCAGGGGGTGGAGCACAGCATCCGTGGGGGCAGAGGAGGTCAAGGAGCTGAAGGATTGTGAAGGATGCACGTTTGTTGAAGTCACTAAGAATTAAGACAGGGGATGTGCTAGAGAAAGAACCAGTGAACCAAGAACCAAAAGCATTGAGAAATCAGGGAGGGGGAAAGCCCCCAAAGTGAGCTGATTTAACTTGCATTAGCTTTGAAGTTTCCAGATGACGTAAGGATCTTCCTGATGACACCTGCAACCTGTAGAAATACAGAATTCCGGCATTTGATAAAGAAACGCTATGGTTTTTTTTATTATCAACCCTTCATTGATAATCAGTCCTTCGTGACAATTTGGAATTGAAACAGTAGTCTAAATAATTATTTTGGCTTATTTGTACCTACAGATTCAAATACAAAATTAGAGGAAATTTCTCCTAGAGTAATACTATTAGATATACCAGAGCATCATATAATAATGGATGGTATATGTGTTTATTTCTCAGTCCTTCACATAATTTCTATGTGGTTCCATAGAAATCCTTTGAAAACATTTTTAGACAGATATGAGGAAATATATGCAAAAGAAAGATTGGGTTCAATAACTTTAAACCACTTTCCTTTGGTTTGTGTTTGTTCTGACAGAGATTTAGTTCATTGTCCTACAAGTCTCGGGAAGAAGACCCAACTCTCACAGAAGAAGAAGTAAGTCTTTGTTTCTTTTTAAATAACAGAAAGCTCCTGGAATTAAGAAAGAAAAATAGAGCTGCTCCCCTTGAATAAATGCACCGTAATGTCACCCTATGTCTGAAAGAGCTGAAACACTCTCGTAGGCCTGAGTTTGGAGATCCAGGTTTGGGACGTTGGCTTCCTGGTGGCTCAGAGAGAGTGCCCGGCAGGTGGTGAGACAGGATGGATGACAGGGTGGACAGGTCGGCTCAGGAAAAGAAACTGAGTCGGATCACAAAACAAAAGAAAGGGGAGGGAAGAAAATGAGAATGAGAAGAGAGAAATTCCAGTAGGGTTGCTTAGTCAGCAGTCAGGAAGACCACATCAGAAGGAAATTAAAAGTGGGTTGGAAAATTCAGCAAATTGGAACAGTTGGGTGTAAGGGAATTTGATCCTGCCTGAGACATAGAAGGAGAAGGTCTCAGTGAGGAATTTTGGATGCAGAGAACAGATAACTTTAGGAAGTACAATTCCAGGCTGGAGCTAGGGTCAGTCGCAACAGCCAACAGGAACTGACTATATATTCTCAAGCATCAGGGCTAGAAATTCACTGTTTAGACTTACAGTGAAGTGTGTGTGTGTGTGTGTGTGTGTGTGTGTGTGTGTGTATGTGGAGAGAGAGAGAGAGAGAGAGATGTTGTTATGCCAAGCTAGACTCAGAGAGCTAAACACCTTAATTGACTGAGCTGCATATAGCTTCTATCTAGAATTCCAAGCATACTAAATTTTGTACATGTACAAGAGCAATGTACATATCCAGATATAGCACCTCCTATATAGGACTCTGCGTAATGTATTAAAATATGAAGATAAACCCCCATGTTGAAGATTCAGGGAGCAGAAATGTTTCCTTACTTAATACTGCCGACCCCCAGGAATGGACCTTCCATCTGTCCATCTGGTTGCACAAAATAAACCCTGCAAGGGTCATCTTGATAAACATCCTTTCCCTCACTGTCCTCAGACGCAGTCAGTAGCCAAGTCCCTCAGTTGCACCTCCAAACTGTTTCTTCCACATCCCCCTCCCCCTGTGTCACTAGGCTGGGACAGTCACCTCCTGCCCAGCCCTTGCAGCTCCCTGGCCTCCTCCACTCTGATTTCTACACTGTACCCAGAGTGATCGATCCCATTTGGGACAAGAAAGTAAAATACATAGGAGTTCTGGAAGCTAATCCTTTAAAATAAATCAAGACAATGTAAAATTTTAAATTACTTTCCTTCTTATGTTTGTTTGTGGTTTTTGAAAATAGGACCTAGTTATACTGATGAATTTTTAACATAAAATAAAGAACTATGATTCACCAACATTCATTTCAGGAAGAAGATTTAGGAAAACTAAATATAGAAATCATTTATTTTTGTATTTGTGTAATATAATGTTAGTCCAGATGGAAACGGAGATCTGAGCTTTTAAGTACCATTAACCCGATTTAATGGAATGATGAGGAAAGAGTTAATTATAAAAAGAAGAGAAATGGAAAAAACAGAGAGTAACTTATGAGAATGTAGTAACAATTTATGGAGTGAGTTAAAAAGATGAAGGGTATAAAGAGAAAAGTTGGAAAGCTAAGTAGCAAGGAGGCTTGAACAGAAACCTATAAAATAATAGTAGGAAACAAATAGTCGAAAGGAATATTAGAAGACTTAAGAAGCTTTTATAAAAACTGCAATGTACAATGACACCCTCTGCACATTGGGTTCATTCCTAGAGCCAATATTAAATTGCAAGTTAATGAAAGAGCCTGTAATTTAAAAAACAAAACAAGAGTACAGAGTCCAAGAAGACCCAAGTGCTCTTACAGAGGGGGTGGAGGTGGCATTAATGGCAGGGAACATGGGGAAGGAGTTGAGAAGAGGAACAGATGGTGGACAGGGGCCGACTGTCATCGTTACAGTGTAGGCCAAGGCATACTTGTCCTTGATGTTACTGTGTCATCCACCCTCTATAATACGACCACATTTTGGGCTTGGACAACCAATTTAGATAATAAATTCCATATGTTTGCCACCTTATTGTGAAAAGCAGTGGGTTTTCTTTTTATTCTTCCTAAATTCAAAGCAATTATAATCCTTCTATTCTTAAAGCAATTTTTTTTTCATTAAAACTTCTAAGATGAGAATGTTAATTTAATATGCATCAGATCAACATGGCAAGAGTTTTCCAAAGACCGTTTCACTGACCGTAAACCCTTGGATTGCCAAGGCCTAGCAAAACTGAGCCACCAGCAGTAGTGAAAAGTCCCCCTGCAGATGACCAGTTAGCACGCAGCAGGCCTGGCCTAGGCAGCTCTCAAGGCCAGCTGGAAACCTCACCCACAATATGCGGGAAAAGCGAAAGCAGGCAAAGGTCCCTCGACAGTGGAAGCTGAGCATCTGCCAGGGAGCATGTTTACTTATTTCCTCAGTGTGTGAATGAGTCAATCACTTACGGTCAAAAAATCAATACAGGTAATGAAGGGTATTTTTACTTATTTCCAGCAATGATTCATCACAATAAAATAGTACTCCCCCGAAATCTCTTAATCAGTACATTTAATCTATCATTACCCAAAAATTAAATCGCTCTTGATATTAGAGGTTATATGGAATTTATTAGTGAGGCTGTGAAGGGAAGGTACGCTTGGAAAACTGACCGCTGTCGTCATAGGAAAGATCATCCCATAAGCTATCTCCAAGTTTCATTTCTGAGTCAGCTGGCTGCAGGTAAGAGATGAATTTTCCCACTGCAGAGAACTAAGCCCAGTCCATAAATGTCTCTTTAACCAATAACATGCAACTAAGTCAAGAAATAATGGAAAACAACCCCTTCCAGATGTATGTATACTGCCAGCCAGAGTCCAGCAACTCCGCTTCAGACCAGCCTGGAAGCGTGGAATAGTCCACTTCAGTGGTTCTCACGCTGTGCTGGGATCAGAGTTAGCACCTGTAGCTGGGCCTGTCCCCGGAGGGCGTCACTCGGTGGCGCTGGGGTAGGACCTGCGAATTTGCCTTTCTGTTGGATTCCCAGATCCCACTGCTGCTGGTTTGAAGCCCACATTTTGAGAATCACTGGTCTAATATATGTTTTCTGCCTTCGTTTATGAAGCATGGGAGCCCCTTTTCAGGTGAAATAGCATTCAGATGTAGAAATGGGATAAAGCATGATGTGCCATCAGGCCTGGGGCTTCTGGGACCGGCCACTCCACCTGCTCCTCAAACTCCTCAGCAGAGAGAACTTGGTTTTCACGGCATTAAAGGAGTACGACTGATCTGCTTACACAGTGGAAGATAACGGATATAATTATTCTCCGTAATGGGCCCCAGAATCAGTATGGATAATAAAGAACAGATCTCAAAGGGGCACATACACAAAGATGCCCACAAGTGCTAAATAGGTAGCTCGTCACTAAAAAGGCAGGGCAGGGGGGACGTCGCCGCTGGAATCTTGTTTATTCAATTGTCCCTTTGTTTCCTAGATCTCAGCCATGTACTCATCAGTGAATAAACCTGGACAGTTGCTCAAAGCGCCAGAGTCCACCTACACCTCCATTCAAGGGGCCCCTCAGAGGTCACCCTCCTCCTGCAATGATCTCTATGCTACTGTTAAAGACTTTGAAAACACACCACACAGCACACTTCCACCAGCAGGGATACCCAACGAGGAGCCAGAGCCTGATTATGAAGCAATACAGACTCTAAACAGAGAGGAAGAAAAGGCCCCCCCGGGGACCAACGGCCCCCATGGCCTCGTCCCAAAGGAGAACGACTACGAGAGCATTAGCGACTTGCAGCAAGGCAGAGACATCACCAGGCTCTAGCGACCCAGAAGACAACCCCAGACAGCCTGTGATCGGCATCTGGGGACATTTCTTCTGTGGAAGAGAAGTGGTGACACAAACCTGTACCTTACATGCTGCTCTAGTCAACTGAAGACAGTCGGAGATGCCGGGACCGTTTGCCCAGTTTTCCAGTTTCTGAGACAGCGAGGCACGGACCTGGCTGCACCTGAGTGCGCAGCTGCCCGCCGGGGCGACGAGCACACCTGGCGCGTCTCCCTGTGCGCCCTCGCCCTCCGCCGAAGGCCCGGCTGTCCCTGGCCTCGTTCCACTGCCGAGGAAGCCAAGCCGTGAGGAAGAACTGCGCTCGCCAAGAACTGCGCCCCTGCCTGAAATACTGCCATTCGGGAGAGCCAGGTTTTTCCTCCTCTCTTCCCTTTTCTCTGTCTGCTACTGACTTGAAAACGTATGGCTTTCCCCCTTGAAATGTTTTTATTTCTATGGTCCATTCCAAGGAGATTCTCCCATGAGGCTTGCCCACAGGTGTTTTAGGGCGGTGAGAGGCCAGGTTGCTGGTCACCGCGCAGCGCGCCTGTCCTCTCAAAGAGCCGCGTGTCAGCACCTGGGAATCTGACCCCTCCAGGGGAACGGGATGAAGGGGGACATCCTTGGGTCTCTTCAGGCTTTGTTCCTTCTTATTTTGGCACTCTGCGTCAGCAGCCTCTCCCCAAAGTACTTGAAGTCGGTTTTAGATGCTTTCTTTTATTTTTCTAGTCACAACATTTTTTCCCCAGTGTTTGAAAACGCGTCAGAGCCTTTTCAGTATTTTCAATGAATATTGTGGTACTTGTATACTTGTTTAAGCCCAGAAAACAGAGAGCCTTAATCTTTATGTTGGGACACAGACCACGTACTTGGACAGCAGCCATCCTCCATCTCCAAAGGGCTGTGGACGTGAATGTGTATTTCCATGATCTCTGCTGCCCACACCCACAGCGTGGGGTCGTCTAAGTTCACTGCTACCCCAAGGTAATCTATCTAAGATTAAAATGTAAACATTTATTTTTGTTATATAAATTTATAAGATGTTTTATGTTTAATGCCTAATTTCTCAAAAGTGCCAGAAAAAAATGTATATTAACTATTTTGATTTTATGTACGATGATTTATACTCTGATTTTGAAAAGACATCATAAAGCACATAAGCTAGATGATTGCAAGTAGTTGTTATCTTTTTTCTCACCAAGTATTTAAAACATTGAAGGCTTTTAAAGACTCACCATCTCAAATGGTACTTGGAGCTCCTGGTCCAAATCACCTAGACCACTGGAGAAATAAGTGGAACAGACATAAATAATCATTTTCAGTGGTTTGTGGTGGGCAATATTGAAATATATGAAATGGTAAAATGAAAAGAAGAACAAAATATGAGAGGTGACTGAATTATGAACCTCATAAAAGTGTCATAATTTCATTAAGGTTTAATTACATTTTTTAGAAAACAGTGATGAATTCTGCAGTCCAGTGCTTGCCAAATGCAAATTGCCTATTGGAATTTTTTTCCTTCATTTTACAAAAATCAGTGGCTGAAATAAGTCTGATTAAGAGCTCAGCCCTGGTTTGAATTTAATCATCTCTTTAGATCTCATAAGGCCAACATTGGAAAACTTGTTCGCTTTTCATTTTAAAAGTCGCCTGGTTGAAGTGCTATTATGAAGGGTGGGCTATGGAAAGGCAGCTTTTCCTACACCGATAAAGAAAAAGTGAGGCAATTATTCCATCCCACTGTGACATCTGTGACTTTTCAGATTTAATAATCTTGCTGTTTTCCCTCTTTATGACAAAGAATGCAATTGGGAAGATGAAGCATCTTGAAAATGGTGGAGACCAGCTCACTGGCATGTTTTTCCATGCCTGTATTCATGGCTCAATTTTGTGACTACCTGTATTGCATTTCTGAAATTGTAAAGTGAGCTATGTTGGGGTGACCTGGTTGGTTGTCATTATATTTCAGTCAATCTTGTCTCCCCCATGAAGACATCATGTGCATAAGCACAATCATCATTGATTAGAAGATAATGGCAGAATACCCTCGGATTAAAGAGAAGCTGACAAAGTGCAAGTCATGTCCTCTCTGAATTCAGATCTTTCATGAGCACTGCTTTGCCTGGTGATTTCCACCACTTTGTATTAGTGACTTTGACCCAGCCATCTCTGACATCACGGGGTTCCTTCAGTGCATGGTAATGGCCACATCATGTTGCACACCGTGCTATAGTCACATCCTTTATAGACACCTTACAGCTCAAAAACTTTATTGAACTTCACGTCCTGTTTGTCACCAGGGAAGTAGGTATGATATCTAAAGTATAAAACCTTTTCTGCGGAGAGAAGCTCATTACAAATAATCATGTCATCTTGAAATTTCATTATCAGAATTTTCCCTAGAAGTTTTCAAACATAGGCTATGCAGTATAGCCATAAAATATTCACTGAAATATCTCTTTTAATTTGAGAAGCAGTTGGTAAGAATAAGTTGTGATGTAAAGTATTTTAAGTATACTTTAAAAGGAGCTGTAAGGCCCTCCGGCAAAAACCCTAAAAGAATAAATAATAGCACAGTTCATGAAGGTTGAGGGAGTGGAGTGAACTTTAGAAAGAAGACTCTGCTCTTTAGAGCATAGGTACTTTTCTGAAGTGTATTTATTGATGCATCATTACTGTTTGATCTCATACTACAGTTTTTAATAAATATTATCACATTTACTTTGTTCAGAATCTGTGCTTGAATCTTTGAGTTGAACAAAAGCCCATGGCTTCTTTAAAAAAATTGCATCTTGGCTGGTCCGAAGGTAGTGAGTTATCTCACTTGATTGTTCACAGTCAGTTACAGATTGAACTCCTTGTTCTACCACTTAACCCTCCTCCTCACTACTGCACTTGACCAGTCTTAAAAAAAAAAAAAAAAAAAAAAAAAAATTTCATCTTGAGCTAAATGCCACAGAGATTAAATGTATTAAAAGGTAATTATCAAAACCAGAATTTACTATATATTTAAAATTCAACTTTGACATCCATATTATACATCTAATTATAGTAACCTAGGTTATGTGAAATTATGTAAAAAGAAAAATTTTAGGAAAATTTTTTTGTCATATAAATCAGAATTATATATCTATGTTGGTTAAAACTGGGATCTTTGTTTTTATTCAGATATTTTGAAAGCTTAGAAGTATTTTTATGCCACTTTTAGTATTTCTTAAATATAGTCAGCAGGAAAGTATAACTTGTTTTATGTGAAATATTTGAGGAGATCTCGAACTCTAGAAGAAAACAGTTTTTACAAGTGTGTTGGCTATGTATATTTTTTTCTGTTCTGAATTAAATTAAATTACATCATTAGGTCTCCTGAAGCTTTTGAAACTATCACTATTCTTTGTGGAAAAAGGCTAATTACCGATTTATCTGCCCTCAAAATCCCAGAGTTAATTCTAATTGAGTGCTAAATTAACAGTAAGTAGTTAACACAAAGAACTAAAATTTAACCGCAGTATGTCACTATATCTATTTCTCTTGATTTTTATTTTGCTAATTAGAGCATTTACTTACCTAAACCAGTAATAAACTATATATATATATATGTACATACACACATGTACATACATACATACACATATATGTGTGTGTGTGTATACAGTTGGCTCTGGCACAAATCTGGTGCTTAATTAGGATATGTTCTATTATGTACTTTGAATGTTTATCCTGCTCATGCGATGAGCTTTTGTCAGAAAAACAGAATTAGAAGAAACAGTTCTCCAATAGTTTTCATTTACTAATTACAGAAAGGCCTTGAGTTGCTCTCATTTAATTTTGTAATTAATACATTCAGATTTTAAATTGTGTCCATAATTCTCTTGGTTGAAAAACAGTGGTATTTTAAGACAGTTTTGTTATACACGTGACTCACTACACATTCAACCTGAGAGAAGGAAATGTAAAAAGGTGTACTTCTCAGTTAAGCGTCTGAGAAGAGATTTGGCCGAAAGCAACAAGAGAATAACCTCAGTGAGCCAGGACAGAGCCAGGGCAAGGTCAAGGTGCCCCACCAGGTAGCAGTAGCCAAAGCCGGTTACCACGTGGTGATATTGTTTCATGCCCTTTAAAAACTACAAGGTTTTACAAGTAGTGTGAAATGTCAACAGACAGTGAAGCAATAGGATGTGCAGAAAAACTGTTCTGAGATGATGCCATGGCTCTAATTACAGAACTTCAGTCCAAAGCTGAATTAGGACTTTGTAAATGAGCAAAGGACATTTTTTATCAGTGCTCCTTATAATAGTTAATACGAGTCCGTGTAATCTAGCGCTGCCATTCTTCTGAAAGTGTTGATTTCTGGTCCCCCGTCAGCCTAGCTTTGCTGCCGGAAGCACAGTAGGTACTGATGGTTATTTCCTGGAAATCTTGACAGCCTTATTGTACTTTGTAATTGGGAAAAGTTAAAGTATAATGTTTGGTGTTAATAAGTAACTGTTGTGAAAAAAGGAACATTGTGTCTATAATATCAAATGTGGCTTTATTTGCCGTGAAATCTAAATTTCTTATTCTGTAGTAGTATTTTCTTGCTCTGTATTATATCTTTTAAAAAAATACATTATTCCTGACAGCGGCATTAGACAAGTTGAGCACACTTAGACTGAAGCTGTTTGACTTAAAGAGATCAGTCCAGCAACCATGATAAATTAGAATCTTTATCTGGAAATACCAAATTGAATTTAGAAATCATGGTACAGAAGAGAACAAACATTTGTGTTTTTTTATCCTCCTCCTCATTTTAACATCCATGCTTACATCCAGTCTCAAATATTTGTAAAGTATTTTGTTATTTTTCTAAGTTCTTTTTTTATTTAACTGAGAAATAGTATTTCAAATTCCTCTTAATATCAGGTGAAATAAGAAATATAATTTTTGTTAAAAAGACATTTTTTAAAAAGCATTCACTTTGGTGACCATTTATCTTAGTGCAGGAAGGTTTTCCTTTGCTTGCCACTTACATACTATGGGCATTTTTCAAAAATGTATCATGCTCTGGTCGTCTCGTATCATTTGGCATAATGTATTACAAAGGTTGATAATTGTCATTCCTAGACTCCTGTGTGTTAAATTGGCAACAGTAAAACATTTTAAGGTTACCTTTTAAATAACTGTGTTGTATTAACATGCCTCACGTTTTCTGGGGAAATTTGAAATATAGCTAAACAAACAAAAGTCTATTATAAATAGGAATTGGCATTTCATCATTCATGCATTTTTTCCTCATAAAAATAGTTACCCCTAGGCCGGGCGCGGTGGCTCACGCCTGTAATCCTAGCACTCTGGGAGGCCGAGGCAGGTGGATTGTTTGAGCTCAGGAGTTCGAGACCAGCCTGGGCAAGAGCGAAACCCCGTCTCTACCAAAAATAGAACGAAATTAATTGGACAGCTAAAAATATATAGAAAAAATTAGCCAGGCATGGTGGTGCATGCCTGT